ATCTCCCGACTGAGGTTGCCCTGCCCTGCAAATATCTCCAGGAAGTGGAACCTGGCACTCTGCCTTATGTTCCGCTTCCAATGACAAAAGTTGATGAGGAATCTCATCTGTTTCTTCCATGGCCACGAAGTCATGATGGGAAAAGTTTCTGATAACATTTGTTGCCAGATTGATATCATCCAGGAAAACCCACTGGCTTCAAGAATCACATCATAGTTGCACTCAGGCAGAACTTCATAAGGACCTTCATTATGGGACTCCAGAAGCGACGGGTCAACTTCGCAAAGGCGCAGAACATCCTGTCCTCTCGAAATGGCCAAGAATCTCTTCTCCAGTGCGATGTTTGCATCAAACTGCCGCCGAATGTCTGCTAACAGTCTTCTGCTTGTTTCAGCCGGGTCATCTGCTGCTGCAGACATGGCACTCCGAATTGCACTGTGCATGGCACTCTGTCCTATCCGCAAGAAAGTGTAACACCTTAACCTCAAAGGTGTTCGAATTAACAACGTAATTGTGAACCAGCACATTCAGCAGTTGACACACTTGTGAGTCGATTGATCCATCACAACACAAGGATGAGACAGACATGATGCAATCACTCGTTGAAATTCACATGTGGCATAGTTGTTGCAGCCCATGACTTCATGCTCAAGCAATCAAATACAGCACTGCCAGACCCTCACTCGATTCTCGTTTTTCTGGTACCGCACACAGCAGTCCATCCATCGTCCTCGACGCTTCCGAGGCCACCGAGGTGGCAGACACAAGCATTCTTGGCACTCTGCCTTCTGTAAAGTTTCCAAGCTGTCATTGAAAGACATCAACCTTAGGGCCACCAGAAATCTTCAGGTGGCTCACAGTCGGAGGGTGGTTCTGAGGAGATATACCCCGATCGACGACCACGAATGCGAAATCCTCTGCCTTCACCTGCATAATCATACTGATTTGAGTCTGGGGACGACTGAGCTTCGTCCAGTGCGTCCATCTCCTCATTGTCTGACTCCTCACCTTCCTCCACATCTGAGGGGGCTCCATCATCCGCTGAGCCGCGCTGACTCCAGTCCGGGTCTTCTTCTGAGATGTGCCCATAATCAATACCCAAACGACCCCGCCCTCCAAGCTCACCAAGACGAACATCTAGAACACCTTCCTCAATCACATCTGAGTCTGAGGCGTGAATCTCACCTCCGGCACGAGCTGGCCCAGTCAACCAGGCATCCGGGCGAGATTCCAAACGAAAAAACATTTGACCACGAACTCCACTTTCGAACTCATCTGGCCCTCTGCCTTCCGGCACTCTGCCTTCTGGCACTCTGCCTTCAGTAGCTCCACTGTTGGCATTATTGTTAGGGCCAGGATAGCCATTTTCAGGCATCGGCCTTGGCGTCACTATTGGTGGCGGCGGGTTGTCTGGAGCATTGAAACACATGGCACAAATTCGCCGTCCCAACTGCCGACGTTGCATCTCTTCAGGGGTCAAGTTCTCAAGGGTGACCAGAACAATGCGGCCCTCCCTAACAGTAACCACATCCGGCTCGAAGTTGATCATGATCGGGGTCTCCATAATTTCCAACGCTTCTGCCACAGCTTGGGCAATCTCAAACTCATGTCGCGCAGGGGCGGGAGGTCTTGGGCCAGGTGGGTAAGGTGGCCGATTCACAGGCGTTGGTGGCGTCGGACCCATTTGTGGCCCTGGCACTCTGCCTTCCGCCCCACCACCTTCTTCACCAATGCCATTCACACCGGTTGGCGGCACTCTACGAGGCCGTCGCTTCGGAGTCCTCACCCCGCCGATCCTCCCCGCTGCTGCCGGTTTGGCCTTCGGTTTCGGTTCCATGGTGCTTAACTTTAAATATCTTTGATCCAACAAGCTGCAAGCAACTATATGTGTTGGATAGTACGAACAGGTACTAGAAGTTGATTGTCATGTCCGTTTCAATACCACATGCAATAGGTTCCACTGGACGACACAAGCATTTATGCACATTATCATTAGATTAACACATATTTGAAGACAGAGTGCTATTAATAGATGATGTAGTTTAATGTTCGAAAGCAGTATGCCCAATAATAAGTGTATGCATATAATCCATACATATATCTATATGTATGTATGTATGTTATACATATACCTAGGTCTATGTGTAAACTTACCACACACAGTAACGGTTTAGGGTTTAAAAGAGCTTCAGGGTTTTAGGTTTTAAGGAGGTCCATGTTTTAAAGGTACTTCAAGGCAGAGTGCCACCTAGTTTATGCTTAATCATAAGATGTGTTACTACTCGTAGGGATTTGGTTGGGTTAGCTGGACTGTGCCGATTCAATGGGATTCGATATTGTATAACTAGCTCCCAAGATTCAATAAGCTCCAACAAGACTTTTGGGAGGGGATGCTACATGTGTGCAATTGTCTGGTACAGGGTCGGTGTGCCTTCAAAACGTGATGGCCCGAACACTAAGATTCAATAAGATTTTTTCGGGTAGTCCACAATCCTGCAAATGTCTTCTAAGATTCAATAAGATTTTTTGGGCGAGCTGGAGGCTGTGTCCCTTGTAAAACCGATAAGATTCAATAAGATTCAATAAGATTCAATAAGATTCAATAAGATTCAATAAGATTCAATAAGATTCAATAAGATTTTTTCGGGGTAGGCCACAATTGTACAAATGTCTTCTAAGATTCAATAAGATTCAATAAGATTTTTTGGGGCGATCTGGAGTCGTGTCCCTTTTAAAAATGATGGACCAATAAGATTCAATAAGATTCAATAAGATTCAATAAGATTCAATAAGATTCAATAAGATTCAATAAGATTTTTCCGGGGCATGCCACAAGTGTCACAAATGTCTTCTAAGATTTTGCAGGGCCTGTGGGGCGGTATGGGGATGGTGTCCCTTCAAAGGCCATATGTTTTTTTAAACACGGATGCACCCCATTGCAGACTTCCGTGGTCCTTTGTTGGGTCCCTCCCAACTGGTGTTCTAGGACAGGTTGGATCCTGCCTTTGGCGCGGATTTGTCCACAGGCATCTGCAGTATCCTTGTGAAATCGACAGACCGCCTGGGATTACAAAGAGACATACATTCCTGATGGCATAATGCAACACAAGGCAACACAATCATGTCAATACATAATGATCATGGAACACATGTTACAACCCATGGCACTCCGCCTTCAGAAACATGTCTGTGACAATGGCATTGCCACACCTCCAAAATTAATAAGACTCGAGGCCACATCACCGACAACACATACACATGAGCCAGTTATTGTGGCACTCTGCCTTGTTACCGAGCCACCTTGTCGACGCAATCAGTCCACCACGGGGTCGTTGACCTCAGGAGCTTCCTCTTCACGAGTGCGGTCGTCAACGAGTTGAGCTTGTATTTCCTGAACGATTGCGTCCACATCATTAGCATCATCTTCGACAGGAACAGGGGCATTGCTTCCCGTGGACCCCCTCGGACCCAAAAAGAACCTTGCCATAGAGGCTGAGCTCGCACACTTGAGAGGGCAAGCGGTGGCCTTGTTCCGCCCGGTCGACTCACAGTATCGATTGATACATTCGCTGTGAAAGAGGTGGCCACACGATAGCGCTTCCAATGCCTGCATTCCAGGGAAGCAACAGAAAAAGACACGTCATGTGAGAGGTACTGTTCTGAGGATTAGTGGAATGTACAAACAGGACAGGCACCACTATCAATGGTTCATTAACCAAAGGCAAACGAAACCAGCCTGCCTGGCCCGGGTGCATCTCCGAATGGCAAATGACACAGAGGTCCTGGTTCCACCGGTTCGCAGGTCTGCTCGACTCATTCGGAGCATCCTCCTCCTCCTCCTCCTCAAAGAAGGCACTGTCGTCGGCCTCGCGCTCGACCTCGGCCTCGACCTCGGCCCCGGCCTCGACCTCGGCCCCGGCCTCGGCCATGACCTCATCATCGACCTCGACTGCGACCTCGTCCTGCGACTCTGTGTTTGGTGCCGTCGCCCTGGCCTTGGACTTGGCCTTGGCTTTCGACTTGCCCTTGGCTTTTGCTTTGGCTTTCGACTTGGGTGTCGCAAAGGGCACAACGGCATTCACGTCAGCACCGGCTGTCGAGTCACTGTTCGTGGAGGTGTCTGGCTCTGGCAACTCAACTGTTTGAGGTGCAGTGGTCACTTCTGCAGGAGGCATGACGATCTCCTGATCGGGCCTGATCTCTGCCTCTGCCGGCGCTAGACCATCGTCATCCATGGCAGGAGCATTCCCATCAACTGGCACTCTGCCTTCCACAACCCTCGGCACTCTGTCTTGTTCACTTCCTGCAGCCTGGCTGCCTTCGGTTGCCTGGCTTGCATTGGAACCCGGAACGGCATGAGGGGAGGCAGGCGGCTGTTGAATCGGCACTCTGCCTTGTTCCCCAGCCGGGCTGCGACCCACAGCCTGGCTTGGATTGGAACTAGGAGCAGTCGTTGGCAAAGGACCAGAACGGACCACGTCTGGCACTCTGCCTTCCGACGGCGGAACCGTTGGCGGGGCAGCTGGAGCAGGACTCGGATTGAAACTGAGACGTCCCTGCGTCTCAGTGGACTGCCTTGCTCTCGCTCTACGCCTGGCATAGGTCGTGACATCCTCGGTCATCCATGTGGACTGCCATCCACACTCCAAGGCAACCCTGTCAACAGAATGCTCAGACATATTCACCCCCAGTCCCAGAACCGGTTTGGCTATGCGGTTCCAACTGCTGCTATCGCAGACGGATTGACGCCTATGGGCATTCTCACATCGCTGACCAAGCAAGCTGTATTTCATATCGACCCTGAGTTCACTGACCTTTGTGGTCGGCTTCAGATTGGTCAATATGAAGAGCAGTTGCAGCGCTGTTTGTTGTGGCAGGTCAGCCGTGACCGCAGCATCCCATGCACTATGAACTCGCTCGAGCAGAGCTTTCACCTTCACCTCAGTCAGTAAGGCTTATCTAGGCTTTGTGGGGGGAGGGTTCAGGGATCATTGCTGACCTTAGGGATACTCTGTTGATTGACAAGCAGCCAGAGGGATCGAACGCAATGTCGTGGCGCTTCTCGGGATTGCATCTGCATCGGTAGTGGACGTTGCCAGCCGATCAATCCCGATCGTTGCTGCTTGCCTTGCTCTGTTCTTCTTGGTTTCCTTACGAATCCTCCTCACTTCTTGGTCTTCTGATTCCGACGAGGAGGAGTCGTTGGCACTCTGCCTTGATTCACCCACAGCAGCCATCTGCTGCTGTTGCTGCATTTGCTGCATCTGCTGCATTTGCTGCATCTGTTGCTGCTGCTGCATCTGTTGCTGCTGTTGCAACATGAAAGGGTTCATCATGGCCAGTGGGTTGTTCATTCCCATTGCTGGGTTCATTGCCCCCGGCATTGGGAACATCATCTGATCACTCACACGAGCGCTCTTCCTCGACTTTCCCATTGCTCTCGGCGACTGTCTCTGGCACTCTGCCTGGAAGCACCACTGCAGCACTAAGGGACTCGATCTTGAACACACATATGTTGATTGCGGCCAGGTCAAGAAATTCTTGCGCATCCACTCACTAGTCACTAGAGTCCGTACACACTACGTGGCATGGTCCCATCAACGGCCAGATAGCAAGCGTTTCAGCTTCCACAACTCACAATCACTTGCATCATGCATTCCAGCCTTGCCATAGTAGCCAACCACCTTGGACGCCAGCACCTGAAAAGTTTTATGGGGCTGTCACAGGAAACCAAGGTTGAACCAATCAATTCACAGGCACAGTAATTAATCCATCGAGTTACTGCCGACATGACTGTATGCATAGGCATCGTCTTTGTTTTCCAAAACGGCAAGCTGAAATGTGCCAGATCATACGGACCGCAAAAGTGACAACATTCAAACGCCCCAAGAAATGCGATTTCACATTGGCACTCTGCCTTTCCGGCACTCTGCCTAGTGACAGCGACACAAAAATGAATCTGAACAGGCCACACTGTTTGGTGGCACTCTGCCTTAGTCACACCGAGAACTCTCTGGCACTCTGCCTTGTGAAAGTCCCCAGTGCCCACGGACGAATGGGATGAAGAAGAGGAGGTCCACTAGATGGCTTTGTTTTGGCAACACAATTAATAAACCTACTCGTTCAGCTCAATCATTGACACTGATCAATCCTGAAAGCCATCTGCATTTACTCCCCAATCAGGAACGAAGTTCGCAGTGGTCTGGTAAACATCCACATACTCTTCATCTTCCGATGGCGGGACATCATCACCCATCTGGCTCACCGCGTCTAGGTCTTCCCCCCTTGCCTTCTGTTCCAGCTTCTTCTGACAATACACAAGCATGGTGTAATTAGTGTAATTGTAAGCATCCCAAATCTTGCAGGACAAAGGCACAATCCAGCTCTGCAGGTCTTTGGGCTTGAATTTTTCCTTTGAGATGACATCTTCCGTCGTATAAACCTCAACGAGTGTCCTGGATGCCTCAAACCAGTGCCAGTATGTCAGATTTTTTCCCTTGACTTTATCACGGCCATGTTTTGGCGGAGTGACATTGAACATGCACTGGAGAATCTGCTCAATGACCGCCACCCCAGTTTCCCTCTGAAGCCACAGGTGCCAGTCCCCAGGCTCAGAATTGTTTGGAATCTCCTTCACGTTCTGGTCACACAAAAACTCCCAGACAACCGCAGTTTTCGAGCCCTTCGACCGAAAGTCATTCCACGCCATGTCCTTTCTATCCACTGGCACGTTATTCTTCTCGCATTCTCGGACTGTGATCTCATGGACAGCCATGAGCAGCGGGGTCATGACAGTCGTAGTCTTGCTGTTGAACTTCCGATCGTTGTGCTGGGGGTTGAACGGCTGATCTTGTGGCACCGGTCTCGCCATACGTGCCCGAGTGGCGAGGCGGCCCACCTTCGAAGTCGTCACCGCCCTGTGACTGCATGGCAGCATTCCCCGCAACGCTCTGAGAGTTTTCTCCTCCTCAGTCTCTGGCTGCAAAAGCTCGGCTGGAACCTTGATCTTGTTTTGACCCCTTGGCACTCTGCCTTGGGGGTCCGTAATTCCGAGGTCATCCTCCGCTTCCAAGAAAGGCTTCACCTCTCCAGGCACTGGCGCAGTCGCACTCTTGGGGTTTGCGGCAGCCTTCGGGCTCGGGTCCACATTCATAGCCTCCAGCTCGTTCATGACCTTGGCGACGACGGCAGCGTGCTCGCTCTCAGTCACCCGGGTCTCCGGTACAGAAGGCATCGGCTCATCTTGCTCCTCTCGGAGATGGTCCCCTAGTACCATTGTTGCTTGGCTGTCACCCTCATCCTCGTCCAAGCGATCCGGGTCGGGCTCCGCCTCCATCTCAAGCGGCGGTTGCTCATCCTGCACCATAACCTCGACAAATTCCATTTCATCGTCCGACGGATCTTGCACAGGCTCCTCCTCTTCCACCACAACAGCAACCAAAGTGTCCTCCTCCTCGGCTTCCACCTCCTCCTTGGGGTCCAACCATATTCCTCCCTTCTCCGTCTTCATATGCCGCAAAAAAGCAGGATGATCTTCGCCTGGACGGCCCTTTCCAACAAGGTGAGTAGGGATATTGGGACGGCCCTTTCCAACAAGTGGCACTAGGGCTGGACGGCCCTTTCCAACAAGGTCAGTAGGGATATTGTCCTCCACTGGCACTCTGCCTTTGTGGCCCTTTCCGGCAGGCTTGCCCTTTTGGGCGAAGTAAGCTGCTTTCCCGATCGGGACGGCGTCGCCCCTGCTTTTCAAGCCCTGGGCCTTTGCCACCCAGGCCGGCTCAGCGCGTCGGCCCTGCGGAACGAAATTGGAGCCTCTTGCCGTATCGTCAGCATACTCGGCAAGTTCCTTGGCGAAATCCTGCTCGTCCATCCTTTGCTTTTTCGTCATTTCAGCAGGAGCACTTGCCGACATAAACTGTGGCTTGGAACCAACAGGCACAGGCTGTCCGTCGCCGAATTTCCTTTTGGCAGGAGGCTGCTTTGCCGGCGGGGGACCCATCGGCGCTGGCACTCTGCCTTGCTTTGCCGGCGGGGGACCCATCGGCTCTGGCACTCTTGGCGGGGGATTCGGCTCGGGATCTGGCACTCTGCCTTGCTTTGCCGGCGGGGGGCCCATCGGCTCTGGCACTCTGCCTTGCTTTGCCGGCGGGACCCATCGGCTCTGGCACTCTTGGCCGGGAATTCGGCTCGGGATTCGGCTCATCGTCATGCCAGGCATCGTATTCGTCCTGGATGACGGGCATTCTGGCCGTTCTGCCCCAGCGATGTTGCTGCTGCTGGTGGCCAGGAGGAGGATGAGCTGGTTGCACCAGGCCCCTGCCAGGAGGAGGATGATCTGGTTGCACCGGCCCCCTGCCAGGAGGAGGATGATCTGGTTGCACCCTGCCAGGAGGAAGTGGTTCCCACTCCTGCTGCCAAGGGTGATCAGGCAGAGGCCCAGCATTTCGCAGCGGTCTTACTGACACCTGCCACGGAGCAGGAGGCCTCGCCTTTTGCTGAGGCGGTTTATGCAAAGGCGGGCGGGCCCCCCTGGGAGGAGTCCCATCAGGATGATGTATTGCTTTGCCTTTGCCTGGCACTCTGCCTTCTACTGGCACTCCTCCTTTCATCCCTTTGGCTTTTGCAGTCGCAGATCCAGGGGGATCCCAGGGAGGTGTCGAATCCCAACACTGAGTTGTTGGCGGAGGATTCGGCGGCGCAAGTGCCTGCGGCTGCATTCTGCTCATTACTGCCCTTGTTGCCTCGACCCTCATTTGCTGGCATTGTTGCATCAAGTCCAGACCCTGCTGGAACTTTGCTTCCAGATTCTTGCACAACTTGTACAGATCGGACACCATTTCACCAACTCTCCACTTAGTCGGTCCATAGTCCGTTTTGAATTTTTCGCCAGCAGCAAGCATCTTCTTCCAGACCTGTGACGCGTACTCGGAGACGGTGGCGCTGTGGTTTGAGGGAATTTGCCACAAGCTCAGAAAGCAGTTGAGGTGACCCTTCATCTTTTTTGCGGGAACATCATTAATTGGTAGGCAACCGGAGCAGTCCACCAAGGCAAACGTCAAATTCTCCGCCCCCACTGGCACTCTGCCTTTGTGGTCCGGCACTCTGCCTCCCATGACAGTACTGTTATTCTCATGGAGGTCCCCCAGAAGACTCCCTTCCTGCCTAAGGGTATGCATTTGTAGCTTCAAGACAAACTTGAACAGCTTGAAGAGGATCAGCATGGTCTCTTTCTCTGGGAACTTGCTTGGGTCGGAAAACCTCTGGTTGAGGAAGGCGCCCACAGTCGTCCCGTTGCCTTTGGCTTCTGTGACGATCACCGATTTTCTCATCCGCGGTGCCACTACGCCCGAGGCATGGGTGACCAAGGTTTTCAAGTCGAAAGCGAGCGGGACAGGAAACGAGTGCCAGTGGGTTGTGAACATTCGAGATTGCAGAAAACGCCAGTCAAATTGGTTTCCACACTCTTTTTCATCCTTTGCGAGTGGCCTGTGCAGCTTGACACAGAGGTGCACCTGATCTGTCCGATTATTGAAGTCCAGAGCATCTTCAGGAATAGAATCCACCAGTCTCAGGGCCTCTGCTGCGACTTCCGGGGCTTTGAGGACTTCGGCACTCTGCCTTTCAGACCGAGGAATCCTGAGCTCGCGCAGAAGCTTCAGAATGTCGATGACCCACGGCGGTGGGATCCTCGCAATCATTGAGTCCCGATTCATTCCATGACCGACGTATTTCCATTCACACTTGCACTGTTTGAATCCTTTCCCGCCTCTCACGCGGAATTGCAGGCGGACCTCACCGAAGGCTGTGACATAGTAGTCTAGAGGTTTTTTGATTGGCCAGGGATAATTCGGACCCATCTGCAAGGATCCATCCAGCTGTTGTTCGTAAAACTCACAGGTGATGTTGCCGGCTCGCACATTGGCCCAAAACGTCTGACCAAGCGGACTCGTATGCACAGGCGCTGTCATCCTGCGGCACTCTGCCTTGTCCAGCCAGATTGCGGCACTCGGCCTTGTCCAGCCAGATGCAGGCACTCAGCCTTCTCAGTCCAGCTCAAGGCACTCTGCAAAGAATGGCGAGGCGGCACTCTGCCTTATAATGTCGAAATGATATACTACCTCTGACGTCAATGTGTTGTTAGATTATACTAGTATTTGACACAATTTAAATTATATCAACTATATTTTGATATTATGCTCACATTGACATTAAATATCATGCATATGCCATCATTCAAGGACCACGACTCACTTCACGTTGAGCAACTCCATCGACAGAATAATCATGACATGACACTTTTATTGAAGCAGCAGCTACACGGAGTTTAACTTAATTGAGGGGCCAGACAGACTCAGCATGATCGGGAGCTTAGCACACGAATGAAACCTAATTCAAGGGCTGTGTTGATATTCAAATCTGCCATATGCCATGATTCAAGGACCACTGCAGCAACATTTGAAAACTGAGCAACCATCATAAGCCATAGGCAAAACAATCATGACATGACACTTCAGAAGCCCGAGAATGCTAAGTTGAATTTGGCAACGCA